GTTAAAGGTGAGGGCATTATATACCATGTGACAAAATTATGCGAGACTGGGTTACAGTGTTAGATATCAGTTAACATCTAAACAAAGCACTCTCTTGTGAATAACAGTAAAGAGCAGTTTGATTCTTATCTGGAAAGTACTGATTTGTATGCAGAGAAGCCAGAAACCTATTGTCCTTATATTATCTTTATTTTATTATTTCTAAATGCTTTTTTGTGCTGGCCTTTGACTGTAATAAAGACTTACTTATCTACTGCACAACAACTTGATCATCTTTACTGGTTTGTTAGGCTTGTTTGCAAAAATGTAAGAATTCTATTGGATTAAAGCAAGAGTCATTTAATCCATTGTGTTTCTCATAAGAGTTAATTGGACGTCTCCAAAAAGCCCGCAATTGAGTATGATGGCAATAAACTTCATATGCTGTTGCCCCTTTGCTATTGCATTCAGTGAAACATTCCTTTAACAGTTAAAGTTCTCCTTAGCCATCTTTGCTAATAGGCATGATAGGTTAATTTTCCATGACATTAACTAGTACTTTATAAAGCTACTTAAACCAGCAGTTCATATTTTGTGGTGTTGAAATCCATGAATTAATTATTCATTATGAAACAGAAGCACTTCCTCCAATTTGTTTCAAATTTACAATTTCATTGGGTGCACGTGTATTCTAGATTTTTTAAAAATAAAATATTCTTGCCTTAATATTCTGCTCTAGCAGTTAACCTGAGCTAAATATTAGGCTTCTTATAGGAGTGACTATAACCTGTCTAATTACATGCTAACCTAACTGAAACAAATGATGTATTTACAAAACTGCAATCTACATGTTAGCAACTTATGGCTTACAAAGTACTTTATGCATCCTAGGGAGCCCTCTTAAGGACATTTCAAATGTTACTTTTTAATAGCAAGAATTAGTATCTATTTCAAGCAATTAAATGTATTTTGTTAGTACAAAGCATTTACATGCGTTCCTGTTCTATGCATGAGGCATACAGAATTGCATGGGAATGTGTTATTAGTTTTTGCACGTTCTACATATTTATCCTAAAAGTTGCTGTTGTGTCATTTTCTTGCATTAAGTGTATTGTATCGATGTTTTACTGAGATTTAATTTAAGAGACACATACTTGAACAATTACTTTTACCATGAAGGATATTTGTTGTAGTTATTTACTGGGCAAAATATGTTTTTCCAGTACTCTTTGTTCTTAAGCAAAATTAATTCCTCACTTTCTAATTAAGGGGCTGTGTGTGAACTTTAAACTCTTTAAACAGAAACCTCAGAGTGATTAACAATCAAGGAATAAAACATTTATTTAAAAAATAAGAAGATAAAATAAGGATAAAAAGCAGATAAGCAACTAAAAGCATGGTGCTATTGAAAGAATTTACCATTGGTGATACTAGAGGGATTTTATCTCAGTACAAAAAGAATACCTTCAGAGGAGGGAGTTCCTTCAGGCTCCACTAATAATAATATTTTAAACAGCTGCTAGTTTTTGTGTGAAATCACTTCTCTCTGCATGTTTATTGCAAAGATACATTAAATAGCAGATCTGCTTGGGCTCCAAAATTTTTCAGATAATCAAGGCTTCCCTTGCACTGAGCCTCTATATGTAATCAATTACTTTTGTATACTAATGTTCATGTTGTTGAACTACTCCTCCTAGTGGCTGATAAAAAACATGGTGATACTCATAAGCAACCCAGAATATCAGTTGATTGTTCTTAATTTTTAGAGCTGAAAAATCAGTCTCAATTTTTCCTGTAATGAAGAAACTACCTGCCCTTGGTTTAAGGAATAACTGGAAAAAACCAAATTAAGTAATTTGTCTTAGATTTCTCAAACTAATGTTGATTATCTGAACTGTGCAAATAGCACCACACAATGAAAGAATCTGTTTCAAGATTTTAATTGAAGTAATATGTATTTTTCTGGAAAAAATAATTTTTATGTATTTTCTGATATGAGCACTTTAAAATTTGTAACTGAAGTTAAATAAAGATACACAGATCCAAAAAGTAGGGAGAAATCTTATGTTCAACATTTGATTTTCAAATGTAAAAAAATTTAGCCGAATTTTTTTTAGGAAGCAAATAAAATTGAAATCTCTTTTCTAATTATCACAGATGATTATATGATATACTTATCTATTTACAATGCTGTGTTTTAGGAATGTACTCATATAATTTTATGTAGGGGAGCCATTGAATTTAATGAGTAAAGCTCCAGTGCCTGCTGAAACAACCAACATTTTGGTCTATTAATACAGGTTAGATTGATTCATTATTTTAAGTCTGTACTCTGATAATGAGCTTACTTCATTTTAGAAACTGCATTATCCTGAACATCAGCTGCAGTTATGAAATGAGATTAGTTGAGTAAATTAGAAAAGATGGAATGGCAGACCTTAATAAATCTTGTCTAGGGCTCTGCTGCTAAAACTGAACAATGCAGTTATGAGTAGATATGCAGGCTACTAATAACTGTTGACTGTCATGAATAACAGTGTTGTTCCTTTGCACCTTTTCTGCATGTTGGGACAAACTTTTCTGTTTTAGGCTAAAATATATGAGATTACTGTGCTAATGCAGAGGTACCCGTGTAATTTAAAAGATGCAATACAAGTAGTCATTTTATTTTGTTCTATTTACATTTCCTCCTTTTTGCTAAGAGTTATACATGTTGATGTTAATTATGTCAGCTTTCCCGGTTTTAGGCTTGAGCAAGATCATAATTCCATTTAAAACTTCTAGGCTGAGAGTGTGATTTCTACAGACTTTTTAATCTAGGGGCAATGTGACACTATTTTTTAGGGTCAGTTCAACCTTTGGAATCCTTGGGTGGGAAATGGGAACTATAAAAGTTGAAGAAGGTGGAAAAGCTGCATACTTTGGGCGGGTCATTACAGTACACATAAACTTTCAAATTCCAGATTTTGTTTTTGTAATACACAGTAAATCTTTAACAGACCTTGATTTAACAGATTTCAGATACAAACAGAAAAAAAGGACCTGTACACTGTATGCTCCTGCATATGCATAGCATTGAGTTGGCCATTTTATGCATGGATGAAATATGTAAAATTTGTAGGCATAAAATCCCATTTCCATTTTACATACAGGTAGTCCTCGACTTACAACCACAATGGGGACTGGAAAATTCATCATTAAGCAGTGCAGTCATTAAGGAGGCATCATATGACTGCACCCAATTTTACATTTTTTTGAGGCAGTTGTTAAGCAAATCACCGTGGTCATTAAGTGAATCATACGGTTCCCCATTGATTTTGTTTGTTGGAAGCCAGCTGGGGAGGTCGCAAATGGTGATCACCTCACCCCGGGACGCTGCAACTGTTGTTAATACATGCCAATTGCCAAGCACTCAAATTCCGATCACATGACCGTGGGGATGCTGTGATGGTCGTAAGTGCAAGGACTGGTCATAAGCCACTTTTTTCAGTGCCATGGTAACTTTGAATAGTCGCTAAACAAATGGTCGTAAGTCAAGGACTCCCTTTTTGCATAAAATGCATAAAATAAGCATGTGTGAAATCACATTCCTGTTTTATACATCCATAATATTCATACAGTACATTTACATTTGTCTTTCTGCTTTGAAGGCTTGTTGTATTTTTTTAAATGTCTGTGAGTGTGTGTGTGTATACTATCAACTTCTTCAAAGGAGAAAGTTTCCATTATATACCCCATTGTATATTAAAGTCCTAGAGAAGCCTCATGCCTTTTTGTTACCTTTACTTCAAAGGATTTCTCAGTTGTCAGGAAGCAACAGGAAGAATGAATCTAACTCAGTCAGTTGAAAGTAAACTCCCACAATAACCTTGTAAAGAAATGATTAGAATTAGGGCAGTTTCCCTTGCTGGAACAATAGATTCCTGTTTCACAAATACTTTTTAAAGCACCTGCTTACTACTTATTTGTCTATATACCTAGAGGGAAGCCCAGCCAGGTTTAATGGGGCTTCATTCCATAATATGTATGTCTGTATTTGTAGGTTGCCTTACTGTGGCTAGAACGATGGATTCTTTCCCATCCCTAGTGAAGTGTTTTGATTAAGACAGTCAGGCTCTGTCATGACATAACTTACAGTTTCAAGGTAAATCTGCTAAGTGAGGAAACTGAAGGCAAAGGCTTTCATAATGGGTTCAGTGGTTTGTGGGTGCTGTAGATTTCCATTATTGCTTTCTGAAGTATTAACCCAACATGTGCAAAATTTCTAGTGTGGGATGGTTAGATATTAGGCAATACAGCACTTTGGATTCAGGCCCCAAAATGTGCTTCAGAGCATGGGGGATTCAAAGCACTGATATATAATACTTTAAAGCAGCTGCACCCTTCCCTTCGATCACATGGCTGAATATAGTTGAGATTTATATTTAACTGTTGGTTGTCTTGATCTAAGAATTAAAAATTAAAGTATTGTAAAGTCACAGGACTGATCATCTTCATTGCCCCATGAAATTGTGTATTGTGAAAAGATACCTGTGGTATTTCTGTTCTTTTTGTTTGCTATAGGTGATGGCTAACTCATCTGGTCAATACTGTATTGAGTAGTAGGTGACTTGTTTTAAAAATATTTCATGCACCATTATTTCTAATTTGTGACTATTTTTTAATAGTTGAGTTTCTGGGTTGGCTTGAGTTTTCCTAAAAATTTGTAGCAATGTTGCAAAGTTCATAATATTAGTGCAGTGCCAGAATGGGTTAAAGACTGGTCATTTCCTTATGATAATTATACTGTAAGCAAAAAAGGAGTGAGGCCATAATATTCCCGAGATTCAACCTTTTGTTCTTTTGATCAGTTGAGGTTTTCCTCAGCTTTACATTTTCTGTATTTATTTGGGTTTCGTAGGATTTTATTTTTCAGATAGAGAAGATCTATATATTATAAGATGATGCAAAAGAATAAAAATAGAATACAGCTATGTGTTATATTTTAATGTCTTGATAATTCATATTCTGTTTATTTATAGAAAGCAGGTGAAAATACGGACATAATACTGCTGGGTAACAAGTGCGATAAGGAAGCAGAACGTGTAATTTCAAAAAACAGAGGCGAAAAGGTGGGTATGTATTAAAAGGGATTGCCATACTTTGGGTTATATTACAAAAATATAAACTGTAATATGATCATAAAGTGCAGTTGTTTACTACTGCAGAATAGCAGTGTGTTTCAATACTGAAGGGGAATATAGTAAAGTATTATTTCAAATATTGCTTCTGTACTTAATAAACTGCAAAAATAAACCAACAACAAAAACGCTTAGGCTTAGATTTAACTGAAACTTTTATTTTTCTTAATTACATCAGATTTTTTAAAATATTATAAAACTCTGCATTTAAAACATTATTCTGGATATAGGTGTAGAGTGGAATTCGAAGTTGTAATAGTGGGCTTCTACTCACATGATTATATTTTTTCTTCTTGTTGCTTCTACCTGTCCCTGATGTGGACTCAAAATTTGTTTCCGGGGTGTCTTCTAATTTTTCAGAGTAGATTTTTCAGGCTGTTCCTACTGACCTATAGCAGAAGCAGTGGGTTGGATTTCATTATAATTTTTAAAAATAATTTTTCTTAAAGAATTTTTAACAAGATAAAAACAATACAAATTTTAGAGAAGTAAGGAAAATAAAGAAAAATAGTGAATAGATAAGAAAGAAAATAAGAAAAAGAAAGAAGAGAAGAGAAGAGAAGAGAAGAGAAGAGAAGAGAAGAGAAGAGAAG